AATAATATCAAATTCTTTATCGTGGTGAACAGCCTCAAAAGCTTTACTGAAGAAAGTTAATAAATTAGTTAGACAAGACCGGCCTCTTGTGAATCCATGCTGAGTATCATTAATCAAGCTATGCTTATCGAGATGGCTTCTTATAATCTCAGCTATATTTGACTCTAGTAATTTGCCTACAATTGAGGTCAGGCTTATTGGGCGGTAATTTGATGGTAACGACTTGTCCCCTGTTTTAAAAATAGGAATTACATTAGCCATCTTCCACATTTCAGACACTACACCTGTTTGAAGAGATAAATTAAAAATATTAGTTAATGGTTCACAGAGTTCCATTTTGCATTCCTTAAGAACCCTTGAAAAAGCCTCATCAGGACCCGGTGACTTATTTTCCTTTAGTCGGTCTATCTGCTTCACAACCATTTCACTAGTGACTCTGATGTTACATAATTTATCTTCTTCTGGCCCACTATAAAAATTAATTACTGGAATATTGTTAGTGTCTTCCTGTGTAAAAACTGAGAGAAAATAATTATTTAAAATCGAGCACATTTCATTCTCTTTGTCAGTAAGATGCCCATAGTTATTTTTAAGGGGACCTGTCTTATCTCTAACTTTTGTTCTATAGACCTGGAAAAAAACTTTTTGGGTTAGTTTTAGAATCCCTAGCATAGTCCCTTTTAGCTTTTCTTATCCCCTTTTTCATGTCCCTCTTAATGTCAGTATACTGATTCATAAGATGACCCTCACGTCTTTTGATACGCCTATAAATTCCTTTCTTATGCCCTAGTAGATATTTGAGCCTATTATTCATCCATTTTGGGTCATTTCTACTTGATCTAATTTCTTAATCTAATTTCTAATTGATCTAATTCTTGCTGTGTGCTTCTCTAAAAGTGTACATGCCCAGCACATTGATGTTGCCATCCCTACTCATCCTGAAATGATGTTCTTCAAGCTATGCATAAACACTAGTACCTCTGTACTAGCATGTGCAATGTACTGACCTCAGTGGCAACATGCAGACCCCATCAACTTCCTAATGGAAAATGTGGACTCCCTTCTGCTACAACACAACTGTCAACATGTCATAATTGTTGGTGACCTCAACTAACACCTTATACAGAGGGACTTTGATGACCTTCTTGCAGTATTTGACATGAGAAACTTTGTTGATTTCCCTACTCACATCTCTGGCTCCTCTCTTGACTCAGTAGTGGGTGATGTAGCAGAAGGTATAGTCACTTGTCAACCCCTTGGCTACGTTGGATCATCTGACCACAAGGCTGTTTTTATGACACTTAAGATCCCAGCAGAACGAGGTGAGGAGTCCACACGCACAACCTGGCTGTGGGAAAGAGGTAATTGGCCAGCCCTTTGCTCTGAGCTCGCCACCACTGATTGGAATGTTGACAACCAAGTGAAAGCCTTCACTGGACACATCCTTAATCTACAACAAGAACACATTCCTCACTGGCAGTATGTGATGAAGCCTACAGATCAGCCTTGGTTTGGCTTTCATTGTAGATAGGTTGCTACTGCTAAGTACAAGGCATGGTGAAGGTATAAGAGACATCCTATCACCTATAACAGGAACTTGCACAAGCAAGCCTGTAGGCATATGGGTGACGTTCAAAAGTGGGCCATCGCTAAATGGGAGATGGACACAAAAAGAAAGCTAGCATCAGGTAGGGTAGGCTCCAAAACCTGGTGGTCCCTGGTCAAGGACAGACAAGGTTATCTGCCTGATGAACTCATTCCACCTCTAAATCAACAGGATGGAACCACCTCTACTAGTAGTCAAGAGAAAGTGAACCTCTTTGCTGAACACTTTGCTATCAAAATACATGGTATGTCAATGGTAATATGGCTCTGGGTCACAGTGTAGGTAGCCAGTAGGTGTAGCCCAGGTGGGTTACACCTGCTGGCTACCTACACTGACTGCGCTGACTTCCTACGGATAAATACTACTCACCTCTCACCCTACATTAAGACTACAAATATTTTAAGGTGAGTAATGAATGTATTGTGTAGGTATTTTATTTTCTGTTGTGTTTTTTAATGCCTTGTTCTATTACTAACTTTATTTTTATTAATATTTTTGGGTGTCTGGAACAGATTAATTGGATTTACATTATTTTTTATGGGAAATATTACTTCAGTTTTTGCCCATTTCGGTTTTCAACCGACATTCTGGAACAGATTAAGGACAAAAACCAGGGGTCCACTGTATTTTATTAGTACACTCTATATGGCTTTAATAAGTTAGGTAGAGAAGAATTACAGTTTTGATGTATTATATAAAAACTACAGTATTACAATTTAGCACAATTTAAAGCAATGAAACTGAAACAATTTTAAGTTGGAAGTAGTTCTCAATAGAACAAAATCAGCAAGACATCCTATTGGGGCAAGTGTTCCACAATGAAGCATTCTGGGACCATTATTATGGAATGCCGACTTCAATGACCTTCTTCATCTCATCCCAGGATCCCATGCATATGCAGACGGCTGTACACTGACATTCACTTATCCAAGAAATCCCAGCTGCTCTAAGCTACATCAATCACCAGCTAAGAGCTATATCAGCTTGGGGAAATAGATGGCAAGAAACATTTGCACCTGAGAAAACACAAATGATGATTATCTCTAGGCACCATGATGGAATGCCGGTGCAGTAGTAAGGATGAATGGGAGGGTGTTGGTACCTGGGAAAGAAGTTGATATCCTTGGGGTGAAATTTGACTCCAAACTGACCATGAAAACCCACGTTTTAAATCTTGCAAACAAGGCAGCCAGAAAGCTTACAGCACTGCACCGTATCTCGCATCTGCTTGACAGTAGGGGTTGCAAGATTTTGTGCGAGGCACAAGTACGCTCACACCTTGAGTGCTCCACTTTCTTGGTTTGCCTGCGCCCCTTCTCATCTGCAACTGCTTGACAGAGTGGAGAACAGAGCAAGACGTCTCATATCTTGTCTGGGTCAATCCTGGATAGATCTGTCATTTCAGCAGAGCCTTCAACACAGGAGGGATGTGGGTGGCCTTACTGTTATGTACAAGGCCAATATTGTCAGAGTACCACACTTGGATCCACTTCAAGGACAGCATGAAGCAAGCTTCTATACCGCAAGACGGGCAGCAAGCAGCAACTTCACTCTGGCTGTACCCTTCTCCAGATAATCACTTCATCTGAGATCATTTATCCCCAGGATGACTCGAGTATGGAACACATTCGTACAGCATTATGATGTCAACGAGATAGTTTATCAGATGAAAATGCTGGCCCACAGATGGCTCCAACTTCATCCTGTTCCCTACTTGTATGTTTCATAACAATAAAAATGCTTTCAAATGAGCTGATGTAGATAACAGCTCTTAGCTTGCCAATAAAGTTAGGAATCCTTAACCTGTAAATAGCTTGTCAATAAAGCTAGGGATCCTTAACCTAACCTTGTCAAACCCCGTGTAAAAGAAAAAAAATCTAGAGAGGGAGAGCTAGAGAGAGAGAGAGCTAGAGAGGGAGAGCTAGAGAGGGAGAGCTAGAGAGAGAGAGAGCTAGAGAGAGAGAGAGCTAGAGAGAGAGAGAGCTAGAGAGAGAGAGAGCTAGAGAGAGAGAGAGCTAGAGAGAGAGCTAGAGAGAGAGAGAGCTAGAGAGAGAGAGAGCTAGAGAGAGAGACCCCTCAAGGAAGGTTCCTTGATGTTGGTGAGGGGCTCTTGATTTAGGGAATTGGATCTGTGCTCCAGTTCCCCGAATTAAGCCTGAATGCCTTCCACATCCCCCCCCCCCAGGCGCTGTATAATCCTCCGGGTTTAGCGCTTCCCCCTTGATTATAATAATAATAATAGAGAGAGAGAGAGAGAGAGAGCTAGAGAGAGAGAGAGCTAGAGAGAGAGAGAGCTAGAGAGAGAGCTAGAGAGAGAGAGAGAGCTAGAGAGAGAGAGAGAGAGCTAGAGAGAGAGAGAGAGAGCTAGAGAGAGAGAGAGAGAGCTAGAGAGAGAGAGCTAGAGAGAGAGAGAGAGCTAGAGAGAGAGAGAGAGCTAGAGAGAGAGAGAGAGAGCTAGAGAGAGAGAGAGAGCTAGAGAGAGAGAGAGAGCTAGAGAGAGAGAGAGAGCTAGAGAGAGGAGAGGAGAGCTAGAGAGAGAGAGAGAGAGAGAGAGGTAGAGAGAGAGAGAGAGGTAGAGAGAGAGAGCTAGAGAGAGAGAGAGAGCTAGGAGAGAGAGAGAGGAGTAGAGAGAGAGAGAGAGCTAGAGAGAGAGAGAGCTAGAGAGAGAGAGAGCTAGAGAGAGAGAGAGCTAGAGAGAGAGAGAGCTAGAGAGAGAGAGAGCTAGAGAGAGAGAGAGCTAGAGAGAGAGAGAGCTAGAGAGAGAGAGAGCTAGAGAGAGAGAGAGAGCTAGAGAGAGAGAGAGAGCTAGAGAGAGAGAGAGAGCTAGAGAGAGAGAGAGCTAGAGAGAGAGAGAGCTAGAGAGAGAGAGAGAGCTAGAGAGAGAGAGAGCTAGAGAGAGAGAGAGCTAGAGAGAGAGAGCTAGAGAGAGAGCTAGAGAGAGCTAGAGAGAGAGAGAGAGAGAGAGAGCTAGAGAGAGAGAGCTAGAGAGAGAGAGAGAGAGCTAGAGAGAGAGAGAGCTAGAGAGAGAGAGAGAGCTAGAGAGAGAGAGCTAGAGAGAGAGCTAGAGAGAGCTAGAGAGAACTAGAGAGAGAGAGAGAGAGAGCTAGAGAGAGAGAGAGAGAGAGAGAGAGAGAGAGAGAGAGAGAGAGCTAGCTAGCTCTACTAAGGGAAGGATATCAGCTCACTTCCTTGATGGAACATAACCCATGAAACCCTTCTTAAGAATGTATTAATCACTTCCTAGACAGTCGAGGGATGTCCTAAACCTTAAGAGATAACCTGTTTTGTGGTCGTGGTTTTAGAGGGTTCTGTCATATTTTAATGGTGAGCACTGTATTTACAGTAGTATAAAAAATCACTATAAAACAATGTTAACTAATGTTTTATTTTTCAGCTGTTAAACCTGGCTTTGGATCGCCATGTATATAGCTGGTACCGGGAGATCTCCATCCACGACCAGCTGGCTGATGAGATTCGCTACATAATAAGATATGCTGTAGCAGTGTTGGGCAGCAAACTTTTAAAGGTACTTTATATGTTGAATGTGTGGCAGCTTAGCAAGTTTTTTCAGGTCTCTTAAAAATCCATACACACTTCTTTATGTATATTAGACCTAGGGGTTTATGTGTATGTAATTTAGAATTTTTTATTTATTGTAAATTAATGTTATTTGGCATAAATTGTAAATGATTTATTGGTTAATGTATATGCTCTACTTTTATATTTCTGTATGTAAATCTAAAAGTACTGAAAGGGAGAAAGTGCTGTAAAATAATAGTGTTTAAATTTTCATCATGTGATGGAAACAATGTGAGAAGAAAGCACAGACAATCCAGTTTATAATGTGAGTAATGATATTGAATTTTGGGCAGTACACATTACACCTGCTGCTCTCGTTGATCTAACATTAGATAGAGGCAGTGCCTAGGTGTTACTCACCTAGTGTAGGTCACACTGTTACAGATGGTATATCATACACAGGGTTGGTTGGTAAAATCTCATCACTTTACCAAGTTTTATGTAAGCATAATTTTTGTGTTTTGATAAAGCCTGGTAGAACCCTGGTCTAACCCTAGTAAAACCCTGGCAAAACCTTGGTAAAACTGAATATCCCTTCCCCATGATCCACATGCTTGTTTTTTTTTGTTTGTAACATTTCTGTGAATGATCTTTACCACAAATGTAAAAACCGACATAAAAATGCAGGAACCAAAGGAATGTAGTTTGTATTGATTGCAGAAGCAGTAAAAATTACATTAAGATTTCATGAACATTGTATGAAATAAATACTGTACATCAAGATTCTAGATTCTACATGCCACTCTACAGACACCTTCACCCAGCAACTCCGTCTCTCCATTCCCCAACGGTGCTCCCTCCAAGGTACTATACTGCATGGTGTATGCACACCTTTTTAATGCAGCAAACCCCAGCTCTTTCAACAACACTATTAATGAACTATTCTGTCTGAACAACATGCCTGTCTTCAATTTCCCAGACTCCATGCCTTCAGCCGACGTTCTCAATATTCTTTCCAATGTCGTGAACTTTACTGCACCCGCAAACCTGTCTCCTGCCCAAGCAACTGCTCCTGTAACTTCTATAATCACTTCCACCGCCGACAGTGATGATCATGCTGCCTCAAACACTATCTCCCATGCCTCCCAACCTGCTGTTACACAACCATTACACCTCTCCACTGCTCCTCTCGACCCTCAGTCACCTGCTAACACCATTATAGACTCGCCAAATGATTCAATTTCAGAAGAAGAAGATAGTGACGACTCAAGTACACCCTCTTGGGAAAACCTTACCTTCTACACTTCTCCAGCGAATACTGACACCATGACCTGCACTGAGCTCTACAAAGGCCTTGGTGCTGGAACAGTCAAGTATGCCTGCGAATCACCTCTTTACTTCACACTCGCCCAAGTTCTTGAGTTCATCAAACCTCTATGTTTCACCTTCAGTAATAAGACTAAACTATACCACCTCTCCAGGAGCAGCTTCAAAAAGTTTGAAAATGGCTCCACTGCAAACCTGCCTCCTCAATTACTCTATAACTAGCACCTGTGTGCTGCCCTCTGATATTCCTACCTGCCTACCCTCTCCTGCGACCTAGAAACTGTCGTCTTCTCAAGACTCCAGACCTCAACTACCATGAGACCGATGCAAGCACAGCTTGCTCTTCCTGTTTTCTCCAAGTTCGTCCCACTAGCGCCTAGCAGCTGGGTTAAGCCCTGGCTCTTTTTCTTCGACTATGGATGCTCCTCTCCGCTGCTATTCTTTGCCTATTCCATCTTCCCTGCTCACTCCACATGGGGTCTTACCTAAACTTCCTTGATCTTGATAAATACTGTACTGCACTTCCATTAAAATAACAGCTAGCATTATTTTAATGAGTTTGATACTAAGTCATCAGTAAAAGGACCTACTGTGGTAGTCTGCTGTTTCTGGACCTACTGTGGTAGTCTGCTGTTTCTGGACCTACTGTGGTAGGAGTCTGCTGTTTCTGGACCTACTGTGGTAGGAGTCTGCTGTTTCTGGACCTACTGTGGTAGGAGTCTGCTGTTTCTGGACCTACTGTGGTAGGAGTCTGCTGTTTCTGGACCTACTGTGGTAGGAGTCTGCTGTTTCTGGACCTACTGTGGTAGGAGTCTGCTGTTTCTGGACCTACTGTGGTAGGAGTCTGCTGTTTCTGGACCTACTGTGGTAGGAGTCTGCTGTTTCTGGACCTACTGTGGTAGGAGTCTGCTGTCTCTGGACCTACTGTGGTAGGAGTCTGCTGTCTCTGGACCTACTGTGGTAAGAGTCTGCTGTTTCTGGACCTACTGTGGTAGGAGTCTGCTGTCTCTGGACCTACTGTGGTAGGAGCCTGCTGTCCCTTTATTTACTGTGGTAGGAGTTTGCTTTCTCTGGACCAGCTGTGGTAGGAGTCCACTGTCTCTGGATCTACTATGGTAGAAGTCTACCATCTCCCTAGAATTAAATGATCTCTGAAATAGGAACAGGGAGTGAGATAGCATCATAGTAGGCCCTGCTCTCCTTTGATGTCATCTCTAGTCACTAGACCTCATTTCTGCTTCAGTATATAAGGTACTATATCTGTACTTTAAGCTAAGGGACTGACCATCTTCCATGATGGCTGATTGATCTCAAAATTACTTCACATTTTCTACTGCTTTCAGAGTTATATTCTCCTGTATTTGACTGAAGTAACCTGTTGTGCAAGCAAAATATTTCAGTAATAAAGATATTTAAGTGTTTCATATACATCTTGTTCATCAACTTGTCAATATTGTATACCATTAGTATAACAATTGTAGTAGGAGCAGATATTAAAGTATTGCCAGGAAAATGTAGACATTTTCAATAGGCAACTGGATCACCACCTCTGCCAAGTGCCACATCAACCAGGCTGTGATGACTGTGTGAGCCAGCAGTGGCACAGTCTGTCCTCCTAAGCAACAGCCATACTTTTGACAGTTTATAAACTGTCATAAAACTTTTAACCCTTTCTTCTTAACAGCAAATTTCATATTTAACTTAGAGTTAGGTTAAGTGTGGTTAGCTTAGATTGTTTAATAGTCATTGTAAACCAGTTACATATAATATATCTACAAGGCAATAGATGAAATTGTAATGCGAGCAGAAAATAATAATGGGGATTGACAAAGGGTTCATTGCCTTTTTTGTTTGCATGACAGTTTCATTTATTGCCTTTGCTGTTATGTTATAATTGGCTAATTTTTATTGTTAGACAAAACTCTAGCTTAACTAAACCTACTTTAACTATAAATAATATATTCATAAATGAAGGAATTTGTTTAAAAAATTTGCATGAGAAAATATACTGTTTATAACATAAAAATTGTGACCATTGCTAAAGTTTGTGGGTTGAACAACAAGAGACTGGTTGAACAGGTAATTAAAAGAAGAGATTGCTCATAGGCTGAGCTGCAGGAGTAGAAAAACTTTAAAACTGGCACAGTATATCATCAGCAGTTAATTGATGACCTCCTGGCACTCCTTGATTCCCTAAAGACAACCTTCTCCTGTATTATTCTTACTGAAACCTAGCTTAAGCAGGACACAATAGATATCTACTCAATACAGTGGACCCCCGCATACCGGACGCATCGCATACCGTACAATCTGCATACCGGACGCTTTGATCGCAAAAATTTTGCCTCGCATACCGCCCAAAAACCCGCTCACCGCCCTTCGTCCGAGACGCGTCCAATGTGCGGCCTGAGCCACGCTCACATGTTCCGCCGGTGGCATTGTTTACCAGCCAGCCTCCGCGGTAACATCCAAGCATACAATCGGAACATTTCGTATTATTACAGTGTTTTTGGCAATTTTTTCTGGAAAATAAGTGACCATGGGCCCCAAGAAAGCTTCTAGTGCCAACCCTACAGCAATAAGGGTGAGAATTACTATGGAGATGAAGAAAAAGATCATTGATAAGTATGAAAGTGGAGTGCGTGTCTCCGAGCTGGCCAGGTTGTATAATAAACCCCAATCAACCATCGCTACTATTGGTGGTACAGCTGCTGCTGCTGCTGCTGCTGCTGCTGTACCACTGTCAGCTGCTGCTGCACTGTCAGCTGCTGCTGCACTGTCAGCTGCTGCTGCACTGTCAGCTGCTGCTGCTGCTGTACCACCGTCAGCTGCTGCTGCTGCTATAGTACCGTCTGCTGCTGCTGTAGCATCGTCTGCTGCTGCTGTAGCATCGTCTGCTGCTGCTGTAGCATCGTCTGCTGCTGCTGTAGCATCGTCTGCTGCTGCTGTAGCATCGTCTGTTGCTGCTGTAGCATCGTCTGTTGCTGCTGTACCACCGTCAGCTGCTGCTGCTGCTGTAGCATCGTCTGCTGCTGCTGCTGCTGTAGCATCGTCTGCTGCTGCTGTAACATCGTCAGTTGCTGCTGTAGCATCGTCTGCTGCTGCTGTAGCATCGTCTGTTGCTGCTGTAGCATCGTCTGTTGCTGCTGTACCACCGTCAGCTGCCGCTGCTGCTGTAGCACCGTTGTTGGTGTGGCTTATTGAGAATACCAAGAAACAATTAACCCCAGAGGATTTGCCACCCAGGATAACCCAAAAAAGTCAGTGTCATCGAAGACTGTCTAACTTATTTCCATTGGGGTCCTTAATCTTGTCTCCCAGGATGCAACCCACACAAGTCGACTAACACCCAGGTGAACAGGGAAAATGCCTGGAACTAGTGCTCATATTGGTGAATTTAGAGCCAGCAAAGGTTGGTTTGAGAGATTTAACCCTTTGACTGTCGCGGTCGTATATGTACGTCATAGGAGATACCGTGTTTGACGTATCTATACGCATAAATTCTAGCGGCTTCAAATCAAGCAGGAGAAAGCTGGTAGGCCCACATGCGAGAGAATGGGTCTCCATGGTCAGTGTGCACCATATAAAAAAAATCGGGGAGCCAGTGGTGCATTGTGGGAATACCATTTCAGTGCTCCTTTTTCAGCATGTCTAGCGGTAAGAAATATGTGACTTCCCTGC